TTTTTAACATTAACCTAGTTCAATTAATAAACTTTACTGTGTGAGCATGTGTTGATTTCTTAAATATATCTAATAATAACTCTCAAAAATTTTTGGGTCAAGAATAGTAATATATTATGCCCTTTATTAAATTTCAGAAACTACCAAAGTATTTTGCCCTTTATTAAATTTGCTCTCAGTATGACAGTATATCTATAAGAAATAGAAACAGAGGAACTGAATAATTCGATTGAATTGTCTTACAAAAACGATTACAAACAGAGCTTTTAAATAGCTTCTGCAAAATGAGCTAAAACTACTTCCTAAAGACTCGGTAAAACAAACGTCCACTACACTACAACAAATAGGACTTATTCAAAAATTAAAAACGTGCAGCTAACTCCTGAAGACTCGGTCATAATTTGACCTTATTCTTCAATTCCTCCCCTAAACTGGAAACACTCTGTTTCCAGTTTATACTTCTTTCACCAACATTCCCATACTTCTTCTCTGCTTCTCGAAGACTTCAAATGTCACCGGCTTTGTCATCACATCAGATAACTGATCTTTAGTCGAACAGAACTCCATCTTGATCACACCTTCACTCAAAAGTTCACGTAGGAAGTGAAACCTTACATGTATATGTTTACTTCTTCCATGAAGAACTGGGTTTTTAGATAGCTTTATTGAAGAGCTGTTGTCACAAAACATAACAGTACCATCCTCTTGAGCAAATCCAACTTCTTCCAGAACATTCCTTAACCATACTGCTTGGCACGCACCATTAGCAGCAGCTACAAACTCTGCTTCAGTCGTAGATAAAGTGACAATAGGCTGTTTCTTTGATGACCAAGAAATTGCCCCTCCTCCAAACATAAATGTGTACCCAGATGTACTTTTCCTGTCATCTTCATCATCTGCATAGTCACTATCGACATAGCCAACCAGTTCTTCTTCTCCTCCACGTCTGTATTGAATGCCATACCTGACAGTTCCTTGCACATACCTTATGATCCTTTTTGCAGCCACCAAATGTTGCTCTCTTGGATTCTCCATGTATCTGCTCACCAGGTTAACCGAGTATATCAAATCAGGTCTAGTGGCGGTTAAATACCTCAAGCTCCCCACCAGCTGTTTTAATGCAGTTGGATCCACAGCTCCTCCATCTCCTTCTTTTGTCAGCTTATTTCCTGGAACCGTCGGGTTCTTAACTGGATTGCAGGTTTCCATTCCAAACTTTTTCAAAGTTTCCAGTGCATACTTCCTTTGACAGATGAAAATTCCTTGCTCATCTTGAATCACTTCAACACCGAGAAAGAACTTCATTTTGCCAAGATCTGTCATGGCAAATTCCTTCTTCATTGATGTCTTGAACTCCTCAAGCATCAATGCCGAGCTGCTTGTGTAGATAAGATCATCTACATACAGGCTTACAATAAGAACATCTCCTCCTTGTCTTTTAACAAACAAGGTGTGCTCGCAGTAACATTTTGTGAAGCCTTCTCTCACAAAATATCCTTCGATCTTGCTATACCAGGCCCTTGGGGCTTGCCTAAGACCATACAAAGCCTTTTTCAACTTGTAAATCTTCCCTTCTTCTTTCTTGGACTCGAAACCCTTTGGCTGCTCTACATACACATCTTCATTCAACTCTCCATGTAGAAAGGCACTTTTAACATCTAGTTGCAGCACGCTCCATCCCCTTTGTGCAGCCAAAGCGAGCAGTAGCCTGATTGTATCCCAACGAGCGACTGGTGCAAACACTTCATGGATGGAAATCGATTCCATGTGTCTGATGAAATCCCTTCGCAACCAGCCTTGCCTTGAACTTGTCTACTTCTCCTCTTTCATTAAACTTTGTTTTGTAGACCCATTTAACTCCTATTACCTTCGCATCTGCAGGCAAATCCACCAGCTCCCAAGTGTTGTTCTCCTCTATGGACCTCATCTCAGACTCCATCGCCTTCCTCCAATTCTCGTGAATCACTGCATCTTCAAATCTTTCAGGGTCATCTTCTGCAGTGAACAGCACCATCATCATCATATCATCATCCTCATCTTGTATGATCAGTGCTCTTCCATTTCCTGTATCGCATTGAAAATTTTTCATCCACGATGGTCTTTGAATAATCCTTCCCGAGCTGCTTCTATTCACAGCAGCTGTCTCAGGTAAATGTTGTGTTCTCTCAGCTTCCGCAACCTCTTCTTCTCCCTGATTTCCCTGCTCTTCTGCTTGTGTTTCGGCTTCTTCTTCCTCTGCTGACCATTGGTAAATCTTTTACCATCTCCTTTTCCGCAAGCTTCGCTAGACTCTTACGATTTAGGTGACCAAATCTTCTGTGCCAAATCTCATCTGCATCTGCCACTGGACCTTCTATATTGTTTACTTCCTCATCAGCCTTCTTCACCTTTGCTAAGATCACAAACATTCTGTTTGCAGACATTGTTGAGCGCATGATCAGCCTCTTTTGCTGCTTATGCCAGACCTCACATTCATCATTTTCAATGATGATCTTTAAGCCCCTTTGTTGCAGTTGCCCCACACTCAGAAGATTGTTCTTCAAACCCGGCACAAAATAGACAGAGGTGATCACCTTTACTATTCCATTGATCTTGAGACGCAGGCTTCCCCTTCCTTCTACTTGCATTCGTCGGTCATCTCCCAACTTCACCTGTCGCCTGAACTTGTCATCTAACTCAGTGAACCACTCTTGTATCCCACACATGTGGTTACTGCATCCTGAGTCTAGATACCACACCGTATCTCCTTCAGTCTTTACTTCCTCTATTTGTGCCATAAGTAACACCTCTTTCTCCTCATCAAGCTCAGCAAAGTTGGCTGTCTTCTCCCAGCTAGGACACTCGTTCTTAAGTGCCCTAACTTGTGGCACTTATAGCACTCAATATTCTCCTTATTGAATCCCCTTCCTTGTCCTCTTCCTCCACGCTGACCTCCTCTGCCTCGAGAGTTACTGTAACCTCCTCTTCCTTTACTTTCCACCTTAAGTGCATGCTCATCTCCATCGTGTTTAGTCAGCTTCTGCTCATGCACCAACAGTGAACTTTGGAGTTCATCAACTGACAGATCTTTGATGTCATTTGACTCTTCTATTGCGCAGACAACATAAGTAAATTTTTCAACCAGAGTTCTGAGTATCTTCTCAACAATCTTGGCATCAGGCATGTCTTCACCCAGATTTCTCATGTCATTAGCCACCAGCATCACCTTTGAGAAGTACTCAGCGATGGTGTCTCCATCCTTCATCTCCAACACTTCAAAATTCCTCCTCAGTCTTTGCAGTTGCGCGCTTTGTACCCTCTTGTTGCCCTAATACTTCGTCTTCATAGACTCCCAGATATCTTTAGCCGTATCCTTCTTGGCTATTGTCTTCAGGATAGTCTTGTCGATTGAGGCAAAGAGATAGTTCTTGACCTTATGATCGGTTACGGTCTTCTCCGCTATCTTCTCCAATAGCTCTGTTCTTTGTGCTCCAGATAGAACAGTTCTCCTTTCTTGGACTGGAATCCCGGTCTCGATGAGATCCCACCAAACCTTAGACCTGAGGAGATTCTCCATGAGCATAGCCCAATGCTCATAATCTCCATTGAAGTTTGGTATGATCAAGGTGTCTTTTTCACTCATCCTCACTCAATTTAATGAACTGCTCTGATACCACTTGTAAGAAATAGAAACAGAGGAATTGAATAATTCGATTGAATTATCTTACAAAAACGATTACAAACAAAGCTTTTAAATAGCTTCTGCAAAATGAACTAAAACTACTTCATAAAGACTCGGTAAAACAAACGTCCACTACACTACAATAAGTAGGATTTATTCAAAAATTAAAAATGTGCAGCTAACTCCTTAAAACTCGGTCATAATTTGACCTTATTTTTCAATATCTGCCTCCATAATGACTTATATTATGCATTTATTATTAACGTATATAACCAAAAAAATTACAAGGTTCGATAAATATTTTGTTAAAGTGGAAAAAAAAGTCCAAAGGAGAAAAAAAGGAAATAGATGAAATTGTGAGGAGAGAGAGAGAGGGATTGTGTACGTGGCATCATGATTTTGGCGACAGCTAATGTGAAAACACCCGAAAGCTATGGAGAGCGATACTCCTCGACGACGTCCTTGTCCATTTAGATTGAGATTGCATTTTATTTATCCTATATTAATCAATTGCTTAGTTTTTATCATACAGTTTTAAATATTAGCTTATACACGGCATTTCACTATAAACCTCCGCAAAGAAATCACGTGTTTCATATCGTACGTACGATTGTCTAGTCTTTATTAACAAGTCTAAAACACAATTTATCGTATATAACTCTTTTTGTATAGTAGACTTTTTTATATAAGTAAAATAGACTCTATAAATTATCAAAGTACCTCTAAAACAAACACAAAATTATGAAAGTATTTATAAATTCATTTGAAACATATCCACTCGAAATTCGGGTATTAGTTGGATCATAACTCTTCATAAAATATGGAGAAGACGACATTTCTCTTATTAAAATCAATAAGAATGTATATTACATTATTACAGTATTTAACTTCTTTAGCTTAAGCAAATTAATGTTGGTTACCCAAATTAAAAGTTTTCGACCTAGTGGTCCATTCGATTCACATGCACAGTTATAACTTACAACTGATCTACGAGAGTGAAAGAATACATACAAGCACAAACCGAATATAGTAATTTAGTGGCCATCTTTGTCAGAGTTTTAGCTTTTTTCTTCATTATTCACTGTATAAGTTGTAGAAATTAGTCTGAAGTTATAAGAACCTTTCTGTATTTTTTTTCAAAAATCATATAAACCCAAATATATATATATTTTTTTTAGGATTATAAAGGACACGTAGCCCAATCGACGAACAGAGGACGGCACCGAATCATTTTGACTTCACCTTTCCAGCTTTCCTCTTATGATAAGAGTCTTATCTCTTTCCTATAAATATACATCGTACTCCTCTTTTAGGACCCTACGTCTCTCTCTCTCTCTCTAGTCTCTGTTTTTTTTTATTAATCCATCATAAATTGACTCCATTATAATTGAGAATCAAAACGATGGGAAGATCACCATGTTGCGAGAAGAAGAATGGGCTCAAGAAAGGACCATGGACTCCTGAAGAAGATCAAAAGCTCGTTGATTATATCAATAAACATGGTTATGGAAATTGGAGAACTCTTCCCAAGAATGCTGGTTCGTATACACATTATAAGTATTGCATTTTAATCATATATATAAATTCCCTTTATTCATTGGTTGTTTCTATATGTAATTAAAGTTTTGATTTTGTATCTTAATTGTAGGGTTACAAAGATGTGGTAAGAGTTGTCGCCTCCGGTGGACAAATTATCTCCGACCAGATATTAAGCGAGGAAGATTCTCTTTCGAAGAAGAAGAAACTATTATTCAACTTCACAGCATCATGGGAAACAAGTGAGTTTGATTTTTCAAATTTCTAACAAAACTAATGAGATATTGATATTGTACGTGTATAAAGTAGTAATCCGTTGATTGTAAAAATCTATAAAGCCAAACAACTTATCAAAAATAGTAATACATACTTATCTTAAACCTATGATGCATCAGATTTATACTGACTTTGTTTGCTTTCTTGATGAACTATGTATAGGTGGTCTGCGATTGCCGCTCGTTTGCCAGGAAGAACAGACAACGAGATCAAGAATTACTGGAACACTCACATCAGAAAAAGACTTCTAAAGATGGGAATCGATCCCGTAACACACACTCCACGTCTTGATCTTCTCGATATCTCCTCCATTCTCAGCTCATCTCTCCACAACTCTTCGCATCATCATCATCAGCATATGAACATGTCGAGGCTCATGATGGGAGATGCTCTAGTTAACCCTGAGATAATCAAACTCGCGTCCTCTCTCTTTTCTACCTCTCAACATCATCAAAACCAAAACCACCCCAACACACACGGAAATAAGACGGTAAACCAAAACGAACTAAACCAATACCAAACCGGTTATAACAACATGATTTGTAATCAAGAATTACAGTCTTGCTTCCCTATCATGGATCAATTCGAGGAGTTCCAAGACCTCATGCCAATGAAGACAGTCCAAGATTTAATACCTTCGTTATTGGAACCTTTTTACTCCGACTTTGCTTCGGTCTTGACCACACCACCAGCTTCTTCGAGCCCGACTCCATTAAACTCAAGTTCCACAACTTACATCAATAGTAGCACTTGCAGCACTGAGGATGAAAAAGAGAGTTACTGCAGTAATAATTTCATGACTACTTCTGAAATTCTTGATTATTCGTTTCTGCAATTCCAAGAAACAAAACACCACTGGAATAGAGTTATTTAAAAAATAATAATAATGTATTCGTTAAATAGATTTTGTTACATATGTAAGATACTATTTTTTATTGTGGGAGAGTTTCAGATTTAACCTGAATTTCAAAGTCAAATACCAAACTAATCTTTTTTTTTTCTCTTTCCAACTTTTGTCATTTTTTTACAATTTTATCCTTCTCACTCAAGATAAAAATACCATTATAAACCCATTATTTCGATTTTTTTAAATATTGGCTAAAGTGTCCTTGAACCTCCTAAAACCTTTTTTATTACAATAATGTCATCTTCTTCAATACCTTCAACCACCATGAACAACCCCAAAAATAGAATAAATGCTTCTCAACCAATTTTAAAGCTGTAATAAGTTAATATGAGAGCTCATACACTCATAACCTTCTATATTATTTCCTAATTTCTTCTCTAAAATTTCTGGGCTGAGTTACAATGTCAAAGATTATGCATTTTTGGTGATTTCAGCTTAATCAAGACATGGGTTATTTTTTTTTTGGGTCAAATTCAGAGTTTTGGGTGCATGAGAGACCTAAAAACAAACTCAAAACCGATATAGGTAATGATATACTTCAATTTTGGTAATATCTATATCTGTATCGCGAAAGTTAGTCAACATAAGGTTATTTTTGCAATTGACTTCTTAAAAGTAGACTTCATTAAACTACAAGAGAAGTCTACTCGATATCTTTTGAAAACAAAAAAAAACTTAGTAGACTTCGTTTGAAAGCATAAGAAGTCTACGAAAGAAAAGAGGTTATTTTTGTAGTTGACCATATTTTGACTTTTTAATATAGACTTTCTTATGAAGTCTACTGTTTACGTCTGCATAAGAAGTCTACGTTTAAGTTACTTTTGTAGTTTGACCAAAAACGTATAGGTCATTTTAGTGTTTGACTACAGTTTTTTAAAAAATAAAAAATTCAAAAAATTCCGAAAAACTTCAGTAGACTTCCCAAAGAAGTCTAAAACCTGTAGACTTCTTTGGGAAGTCTACCTATATTTTTTGGTCAAACTTAGAAGGAATCTATTATTGAGTAGACTTCACAGTGAAGTCTACTCAAAAAATTCAATTGCAAAAATAACCTATTTTTTCGTAGACTTCTATTGAAAAAGTAGACTTCAAAAGTAGACTGTCAGAGAAGTCTACTCGTACATGAAGTCTACAATAGAAGTCTACTTTGTTAGTCAATGCATCGGTCAAATGCTAAAGTAACCTTTTTGGCCGGAAGTCTACTTCTGAAGTCTACTGAAGGAAAAGTCAACAGATTGGTCAATTGCAAAAATAATCTGTTTTTTAGTAGACTTCACTATGAAAAATTAGACTTCCTCCAGTCTACGTTTGAAGTCTGCTGTAGAAGTCTACTTATTGCAGTTTTTTTTTAAAACGCGTTTTAGGCAAATTTATAAAGTATTTTTTCAATTTTTTTTGATTAGAAATGCTTGTTAGTAAGTGATTGAACTATCCAGTGAATTTCATTTCATTTCATTCGATATTTATTGCGGAATCAGAACTTTTGATTTTTAAGCTACTTAGCTTATCAAAGTAGACTTCGTTGTTTAGTCTACGGATGAAGTCTAATTGGGAAGTCTATTTTTGTATTTATTTAAAAAACGCTTTTCAAAAATATTTATAATGGTTTTTTTTTTAATTTTTAGGTTTTGACATGCGTGTTAGCAAGTGGTTGAACTACTCAATAATTTTCATTTGATTTAAGTCGATATTTATTGTGGAATCAAAATTTTTATTTATAAGCTAGTTAGTTTGTAAAAGTAGACTTCTCCAGCAGTCTACGGATGAGTCTACACACGAAGTCTCCAAACGATTCTTTGAAGTGAGTTCTGAGTGGTTAATTTTCTTAAAAATAGTTATAGCATATTTCTAATGATTTTTTTTTATTTTCTTGTTTTAGCATGTATAATGTTGAGAGAAACTTTGCTTCATAGATTGTAACATTGTAGAGTTAGGCATTTGTTAATTTTTTTGTTAGTAACACCAACTCATTCTTCTTCTTTTTTTTCTTCTTTGGATTTGCCATACTTGATGGTTTTAAAACTGGTGCTTCTACTATTGAGATAATGATGTGGAGAATCATACTTTATCTAGACTTATATTTGAATGTGAAGAAAAAAACATGCGTTTATAGCATACTTTATGGTTTTAAAACAAGTTGCTTCCTATGGTTTGCTTCTGCTTTGAATTGTTATGTGATTTAAGAAAAATAACGAGACATTGTGCATAAAATACTCTGAATTTGAAGTTATTTTGTTATTTTTTTGTTCTCAACTTTGAACTGTACAAATGAATTGATAAAATATATGAACTAAAGATTACACAGTTCTAATAATTTATAAACATAATTTTACAAAAAATTTAGCTGACGGATAGGATGCAACTTGTAACCAGCTATAGAGAAGAGTCATGTGTGACCAACAACCGGAGATCCAGTTTTAGATAAAGCTTCTGCTTCATTTGCTCGGTTCAGAAAAGGAATTTCCATCAGAGCAGAAAGAGCAAAGGCACTTTCTTTGGCAGACTCAGGTGAATCGCTGTCTTCATAATCTCTATTAAATTCACAAAATTTGCAAACAGATCATGGTCAAGAACAAATTTTTAAAAATGAAACACATATGGAGAAGAAATTGGAACTTAGTTAATCTCAAGTAGCTACTTAGTTAATAAATTAGCATCAACGAAGTAAGACAGATTGGATTAAGTAAAATAAAAATTGAAGTTTTACCTGTCCACCAGATAAAAGCACACCTGTCCACCAGATAGTCTTTAATCCCATTTTCCACCGTTTCTCTCTATCTTCCATTGTTCTTCCATCAACTGTTGATACCTAAAACAGAGACCATAAATCATAATTTTTAAAAGAATTAATGCATGTAAAAAGTTGAAAGTGAAAATTGATGAAACCTTGAAAGATAGAGAGATCTCGCCAATTCTCAAATCTCAGCAAAAGAAAAATCAAAACACCAAGAACTAAGAATATGCATCAGAGGATGGAGAAAAAAAAGAGCAAAAAATAACACTTTTTTATACAATGATGTTAGATTAGAATCTTTGAAAGGCAAATATCCAACCATAAAGACAAAGAGAATCACACCACAAGACCACAAATCAGCTTTGGCTCCATTGTAACCTTTGTTGTTGATTAACAAATCAGCAAAATCAGAAAATAAGATTCCTAACCTTAAGGTCTCGATGATAAACTCCTCTGCTATAGCAATACTCCTTGCCTCATATTCCTCCAGCCTCCCATTGCTTGACTAAATACATGACAATTTTAGAGAATCAAGTCATTAGTACTTCTTCACTCGAGATCTCATTTTCAACATATGAAAAAAAAACATCTTCAATGGATTGAATGGTTACAATTTTATCGAAAAACTCTCCACCAGTAACGAATTCCAAAACGAAATAGATCTTAATTTTGCTGGCCAACACCTGAAGGAAGAAAGAATCGGTAACTACATACAAAGATACCAAAAGAATACAGAATAATATAATATATATACAAAAATTAAGTTTCAGATTCTAAACATGCAAGCAACGAGTAAAAGGAAGAAGACTTTCTCATAACTTTCTCTTTATCAATGACTTTAAGGAAAAGAGGAGACGAAGATGAGAAGAGAGACACCAGAGAGGAACAACAGAGAGAGCGGCATCAGACGGTGAGAGATGAAAAACATTAGATCTGGTGGAGCTAACAGTTGCCGGATAGTTTAACCAGAGCAGGAGTTCGCCGGTGGTTGAAATAAGGAAGAATTTCGGTGGTTGGTCGGAAGTCACCAGCGGTTGAAGGCCATTCTCACATTAGATCGCGGCTGCCTCGTAAACTGTGTCTGGGAGAAAATTATGTTAGGGCGAACTCCCAAACTTTGTTATAGAAAAAATTAGGGTTATTAACTTTATATATGAATCTAAAATTTTGGTTTAATTTTGGTTAAAATCTTGGTTTAAATAATTTATACGGTTTAGTAGACTTCAAATAGAAGTCTACTAAATATAAACCCTAAATCAAATATTATGTTGTTCTTAATTTGAAACCATAAATTTAAGCTTATGAATATGAAACAATAATTTATATACATTAGGATTACCAATATCTAATTTATGATTGCAAATTTGAAACCAAAATTATTTTTTTATTAATTTTAAAATTAAATTTTATGATATAATTACATAGTAGACTTCATAAGCTTAGTTTGAAGTCTACTAGTAAACTTCTAACAGTCTTTAGTAGACTTCTTCAGGGTTTAAATCGTAATAAAAACATCCGTTTTTTGTTTGATCATGTAGGATTATATTATCTTTTCTTTGGGTTATTTTTGTCAAATATTTCATCAAGAATCTATTTTTGTATTCAAAATCAATTTTTAGATCATTTTTAGCAAAAACTCCTTATTGTTTTCTTTTGCCATTATTATTTAGTACTACTTTACTATACTGTCAATGCGAAAGCAACATCCCACCAATAAACAATATGTATATCTCATAACATTTATTTAAATGATGGAGTTTCCATTTTTGAGTATCTACTTCATTTTCCTTTTTCTTTTTTTTAAAATAATTTTGGTCGGCTTTTCTTCCACATAAATGCATGGAGATCTTACCAGCGATCATATAAAATATGTGTCTAAAATAAAATTCAATTTGCTGTAACAAAAAAAAAGAAATAAAATAATTGATAACTAAAACTATTGACTTATTATGTTTTGTACGTGTATCCCTAAAGAAACTAATGGTAATTTAGGAGCCGAAACAATATACAATAACAAACAATTTGGAATGGAAGACGGACCCTTAATTCAATCCAAAATACACTATTTCTTAAACTTTTTTTCCAAATGAAAAAGTGTACAGTAAGTCAGTAAGCAAATAAAAAAAATGCACGAAAAACTTACTAATTTAGTAAATCTACTTAAACTGGAAATCGAATGACCGGAAAGGCGGAAACCGGCAAGACTGGTCGGCGCGTTCATGGTTGTCGTTAGCCTTTGGAGTCAATCACGGGAAAGTGGCTAATGGCCAGACGCCACGTGCAAACAGACTACACGTAAGCAATATATTCG